CAAATAAAGAGGAGATAGGAGAGAAGTATTACCCTAAGCATGTTGTTAAAACTTAAAAGGCTGATACTTGATTGGAGTACTCAGAAATGAAATAAGCAGTGGATTTTCAATGTAGCTACATCCTTTACAGATATAAATCAGCAGATTCTTAAAATTTTAGTGATACATACTGAAGAATCTCTATGAATCCCTCTCTAAATCCAAACTATGGGGCCACTAGTGTGGTGGTTAAGGCAGCTTGACCCCACATGACCTACCATGAGGTTTAAGTCCTGGATCTGGTAGTTTGAGATACATGCTCTGTGAATGAGTGTGCATATCCCAAATCTTGAAAGGAGGAAGTAATGAAGGAGAAGAGACTGTGGCATGATCATCTCCCATGGAGGATGCTTTCTCACTCCCGACTCCCCTCACTCCCAACTCTTCCTGGAGAGCTATGAAGTAAATTTTGTGTTCTACCAAAACTCATGTTGAAACTCAAATCCCCAGGACCAGCAGATGGCATAGGGGTTACATCCCTGGACTCCCATGCAGTCGACTGTGGTTCAAGTCCTGGACCCAGTGACTTAAGATTCATGCTGGGCATGTGTGTGTGTGTGTGTGTGCCCAAGACCCCAAGAGGAGAATGGAGGAGAAGGGATTGCAGTGTGGCCATCTCTTACTTTCTGTCTCTCTATCTGGGGTAAGCACATGCACCCTATAGCAAAAATTTTTCTCAAAGAATAAAAAAGAAGCCCAAATCCCCAAAGTGACAGTATTGCAAGATAAGGCTTTTGGGAGGTAATTGGGTCATGAGGATGGAGGCTTCAAGACAAGATCTGTAATCCTTTAAGAAAAAAAAAATAAGAAAGTTTGTTTCTTCTCTCTACACTCACCATCTGAAGACACAAGAAGAATAAGTCATCTACAAATCAGAAATAAAGCATTCACCAGAACCTAATCATGCAGGCAATTTTATCACAGACCTCTCATATTCAAGCAGTATGAGAAATAAACGTCTACTGTTTAATCTCCCTAGTGTATGGTATTCCATTACACACCTAAGATAACAGTGAAGCAGTAAACCAAAAAGCTGTGAGAATAAAGTTCTAATATAATTTGGTAGCTTATGTGCTACCTAGGAATGTAGGAGAGATTGCAGTGGGAAGTAAGGGCTTAGGCTGGGTATCAGAAGCTCATAATTGGGAAGGCAAAATATCTTATCCAAAGGTTTTCATGAGAGTAAAAATTCATTGACCGTGGGAACCTGCAATTAGCGTAATGGCTATGTCGCTGGATTCCCACATAGTCGACCCAGTTCACGTCCCGGACCCGGTGGCTTAAAACTGACACCGGGCGCGTGTGCATGCGTGCCCAAGATCCCGAGAGGAGAATGGAGGAGAAGGGATTGCAGCGTGACCATCCTCCCTGGGGGGTGATTTCTCACTTTCTGTCTCTGTGTCTCTCTCTGTCTGTCTGGCGAGCGCACGCGCCCTATAGCGAAAATCTCTCCAAAAAAAAAAAAAAAATTCATTGACCATGACAATGGCCTGATCCATAGGACCATCCTACATTCAATGTGGTACAAGGATTCTTTTCTTAAATCTGGTCTCCTAAGACTGTTTATAAATACATCATTTTTTAAATGCACTTGCCTGTCTGAGGTGCAGGAAAGGCAAAAGAGAAATTCTAGGTCTGAATTATGGCCCATGTCATATTACACTAGTCCACTGTGGCTCTGGAGGCTGTGAAGGGTCTCAAAACAACTCACATTAGAGGTTCTGGGTGGACTTTGCTAAGGCCCAAGAAAAAAATCTCAGAGATGAGCAGGGCATACCTTTCAACCTAGAGAGTGTACCCTACTGGCCTCAAGCTAGCAGATGCCTGGTGAATGAGGAAGAGCTCAGAATAGGTTCTGGGGGCCAATGGGAACATCCCAAATCTTGTCCTTCCCTACTTTGGGAAAGCCTCCTCAAAAAGAGGTTTATGAATCACAATGAGCTTCTTAGTTTGCTCCACCATACAAAAGCCTTTTGGAACCTAGCTCAATCAAACAGACTTGCTTTGCATGTTTTTTAATCCTGAAAAAGAATCTTTGTCCCAGAGGCCATATTCTTAATTTTACTATTCAGAGACAATAGTATATTTATACAAAAAGAAGGTAGTTATTAAATAGAATATCCTCCCTTTGGAGAAGGAATTAAATGTTACATTTATTAAGTCATTGGGAAAGTCATGTTGTGTTTTTGCATAGAAATGTAGGGACATATTCAGAGAGAGACCCTGAAGATGTGGGACATGCTCTGAGCAAACATCACCTTCCCTTTGGCTATGACAGGACCTTGTCCATTCTCCATTCTTTGATCCTTACTGTAAGCAGAGCAAAGGGTGGAGGTTTCTAGGGGCCTTCCTAATATTTTGTTTATAAATAAAATCAGTACATGCACATTGGGGAACGTTTAGAATACAATGGATGGGAAAAACAAACAAACAAACAAACAAACAAAAAAACCACTTGTATTCCCAGTAGCTAGGGAGATATGACTTTTTATAAATTATTTAAAAATGTATTTTAGTTTTTATAGTTTTAATTTTAAGAATAGGATTAACACATTGTTTTATATCTGTTTTACTTATTTAACAACATAACCTTAAATACATTACTAGATACTCTTCCATTATATATATATATATAGTTTTTCCAGTTACTGGAGGGTGTGTGCATTTGCCAAATAGAGAATACATGAAGGAGAAAATATTGGGTATGAGCTGTGATCATATAGTGAACTCTTTTCCTCCACTGTTCCATCTCATTGAAATTCGGGGAAGTATGCACACATGCCCAGGTATTTTCAAGGTACTATTGCCAGGATCCAAACCCCATCATGTGAGAGCCAGCTCCCTTAACCACTATACTATGGACCAGCCCATTACATTATTCTTAATGGCTGCAAGATAAAATTTTCATACATAGCACAAGCTAACAATACTATTTATGAGTTTTCCTTTTTTATTACCAGAGGGCACACACACTCACCAATACGAAAAAAAGAAAGAGCATTCACATGTACCTCCTTAATAGGCAGATCATGAAACAATCTTCATTCTCCATTTCTTCCTCTCTTCAGGCTTAGGGGCACACACAGTATATTTTCAAGGCCCAGAATATTTTCAAGCAGCCAGGACTGGGAGTCAAATCATAGCTGGCCATGTGAGATCTGGTTCCCTATGCACAGGGCTTATCTGCTGGATTATGGAGCCAGCCCTCTGATAGTTCTTTATGAATATCCCTGTATTTAATTATATACCATCACTATTCATTTCTGTAGGATAAATCCTCAGTAGATTGCCAAATTTAGACAGATCCAAATCTTTTAACACTTTTAAAACTTATTGCTAAAGTGTAGCTTCATAAGATTTTAACACATTTTACATATACTAAGAATATTTACTACCTCTTCACTTTCATTCAAGCAACAAATATTTATCATCCATAAATAGAAATTACTTTAGGTAGAGGGGTACAAAGATAAATTAAGCATGACATTAAGCCCATACATTCTCACTATCAACCCAGGAGTTGAATTGAGATTGATGAATTTTAATTAATAAACATCAGATGTACAGAATGGATTACTATATGATGTTTATGCCCATTCTGAAGACAAGTAGTCCTTGAAAAACCCAGTTTGCAGTTCCCTCAGTCTAGCCAAGAACCTCAATTAAACATGAGAAATGATCTAAGATGCATGTCTCAGTTGGCTCCTAAGAGAGTCAAAGGAATTAAGAAAGAGAAAAGTGAAATGTCACAATCTTCTTTATGTTGTCTCCTAGTTGAAAATTAAGTAGCTTCAACATGAAGCTACTTTGGCTTTTTATTTTTATTTTTTAGAGCGGTTTTTGCGATAGGGCACGGGCGCTCGCCAGACAGAGAGAGAGTGAGACAGAGAGACAGAAAGCGAGAAATCTCCCCTCAGGGGGGATGGCCACGCTGCAATCCCTTTTCCTCCAGGGATCTTAGTCACGCATGCACACGCGCCAGGAGTGAGTTTTAAGCCACTGGGTCCAGGACGCAAACCACAGTCGACTATATGGGAGTCCAGCGACGTAGCCATTATGCTAACTGCTGGTCCCAACATGAAGCTACTTTTAAAAGGACTTGTGGACCAAAAGATAAAGTGCCCCAAATGCTCATTGTCACCAACTTCCTACCTTTGGTCCCAAATCAGAATGCTCTTGTGTTACAAGCATCCCTGGCAGCAGAGGTGGAACTTCAGGGTTCCTTTTGTACTAGTTCTTAACTGCTGCTGGCCCTCTGCCCTTCAGTGACTTTGAAAGAGAACTTGAAGTGTAAGTCTCAGCAGATCCTCCTAAATAACAGGACTGGACTTGCAGAAGTCCCTCTGTGACAAGGACTCAGGGTACATATGATATTTTCTCCCTGTAGCTTATGTGGGTGGAAGCAGGATGGGTACCGTACTAGCTGATCTCCAAGAGGGCTCACTTCTTAATGACTCACTTACTCCGGAGGCCCATTTACAGAAGAGGAGGTATCTTCTTTCGGACTCAAGTGACGTGCCTCCCTGGGTCATATTTCTTACTTAATATAGAAAGTAAATTATCCTTGCAGATGACACTGTTTTGCCCTGTTTTAGTAACTAGGTTTATTTCCTTAAAACTATATACAACAGGCATCCAAAATTTAAATTGGGTTTTTACTAATTTTACTTTAGACATGCTTTTATCCAACGGGATAAGCTTTCCTTATATTGATACAAAAATGTACCAACATTTCTTATTTATTCTTGAACAGTATGATGAGACTTCAGAAGGTTTGTGGAAAAATTGAATTAAAATATAAGTTTATTTTGGTGCAAAGACATTGAAATTTATGTATAGTTTTTTCATAATATGCATTATCGGGAAGTTTTTGAAAACTCCCTCATCCTGATATACAAACAATTTATATCTGTAGAAATTAGAGAATGCTTGAACATATGAAATGAAAAGAAAGCACTTACCTGATAAAAATTAGGCCAAAAGGTACTAATCGCCAGTTCTGCCCTGTTCCATGTACGTGTCGGGTCTCCCGATATATTCCAGATAGGATTTCCCAAAGGCCCGTTATTGACCTTCACATAGACATTGAGTAAGCCAGGAGCAGAATTACTCTTGCTGGATACAAAATAGTGAAAATCGATGCAGTGGGTATCATTTTCTTTAAGTTGGGGTAAGAGCAGGTGGGCTCTCTGGCCCTCAGGTCTCCCAGATGTGTTCACCAGCATGAAAGAGCCTGTGAAAACAAAGTTAGGAGAGTCACCACCTGAAGAACTATTTTCCATTCATCTCTGAAAGGCCACCATCATTTTACCTGGATTGACACTGCAGTTCCATATGTCTTACTTAAGCTGTGTTAGATTTCTCATTTCTTTCATATCTTTTTCTTCAAAAAATATTTTATTTAACTTTATTCATTTATTTATTTAAAAATGTGTCCAAAGAGGGACAGAGAGAGAGGGAAAAGAAGAAAGCAAGACACCAGGTCTGGGACTTGAACTGCAATTGACCATGTGGGAGTCTAGCACCCTTAATAACCACCATACCATCTGCCGGCCCCCGTATCTTCTTTAATACATTACCTCCTTCTACCACTCTTGAGAATGTGTTCTCAAGAGTCAGTGAGTGAAAAATTCCTTGGCTGTTGCCATAATTAGGCTCCTAAGTAACATAAATGTTGTATAGCATAATGTTTGTAGACCTGCCCTACTGAATCTGTGAGTCACTTAGCCACATGTGGTTATTTAAATTAAAATTAAAGTTCCATAAAATTAAATGCAGGTCCTCAGTCACACCTGCCACATTTGAAGTGCCCAGCAGCCACCTGGGATTAGCTGCTACCACATCAGGTAGCATAGACACAGCATGCCTCCCTCTCGGAAAGTTCCACTGGATAGCACTATCCTATCGCAGTACAACCTTTTAGAAATGACACCACTTTCAGATCTGGGTGTAACCTAGAGAAAGTCAACAGAGTGTCTGGTTTATGGGATCTTAGAAAGCTTTATTAGTCCTCATACGCTCCTTGTGGTCAATGTGATATGAGCTTCTTGAAGTTGGGTAAAACTAATCCCCCAAAGCCCAGACAACTGACTCCTTGTGGACAGTGTGGGGATTTGCACTGAGTAGGCTGATGCAAGCATTACCCCAACTGTAGGACCGTCATTCTCAGATGTCCTTATGAGCTCTTTGGATCTCGATATACTCATGACACTAACCCAACCCAGAAGTGCTGAAGATAGAGTCTCAAGATAGAGTCAAGTTTTGGGAACCAGCAGTTATCATAATGGCTATGTCGCTGGACTCCCACGTTCTTGACTGCGGTTCGCGTTTAAACCCGGTGGCTTTAAACTCACGCCGGCGCGTGTGCGTGCGTGCCCAAGATCCTGAGAGGAGAATGGAGGAGAAGGGATTGCGGTGTGACCATCTCCCCTGGGGGGTGATTTCTCGCTTTCTGTCTCTCTGTCTCTCTCTGTCTGTCTGGCGAGTGCACATGCCCTATAGCAAAAACCTCTCCAAAAAAAAAAAAAAAGATAGAGTCAAGTTTTTGTGATACTCCAGCCCTCATGCCCTCTCTAGGTCTAAGACCAACAGAAAGAACAACTAAAATCATAGGAATTGCATATTTCACACACAAAAAGAAAAAAAACCCAAAATCTTCTGGGGTAAAATGAAAAACAATTTAATGTAAGTCCTCTTAGCAGAAAAGAAAACTATATTGAACCTTTAAGCAGTGAAGTACACCTAAACTTGGAGTATAAAAAGGAAATAAAAATGTATTATCCAGGAGAGGTTGCATTTCCAAGATCTACTAGATGTAAAATGAAAAAGGACTTCAAAGTAAAAGTTACAAAGAAAAAGTATTTATTGGTTTTATAAAGATTGCACAACATTGGGACCAGCAGTTAGCGTAATGGCTATGTTGCTGGGACTCCCATGTAGTCGACTGCGGTTCGAGTCCCAGACCCGGTGGCTTAAACTCACACTGGGTACGTGTGCGTGAGTGGCCAAGATCCTGAGAGGAGAATGGAGGAGAAGGGATTGTGGCATGGCCATCCCCCCGGGGGGTGATTTCTCGCTTTCTATCTTTCTGTCTCTCTCTTTCTGACGAGCGCAAGTGCCCTATAGCAAAAACCTCTCCAAAATAAAGAGCTTGCACAACATAAGGACCAGATCCTGGGGCATGTAGTTAAGGATCCCACCAGCAGCAGGGCCAGGGAGAAGTGATGGACATGTCTGCTGGCTATGAGGAGGCAAACATCTTTTAAATTAAAAAAAGAGGTATGTTTGGAAAGAGTTCACATTGGTCAAAGGGAACAGAGGATAGTCTAGGGGAGATGGGAGAAGGGACAGAACTGGTTTAAGCTCACTAGCAGAAGCTCTCTAGTGCAGTTTATTAGATGTCGGATATTGGTTCCATCTTATTTGCGGTGTATGGCAGGCCTCAAAGTGTCCTGGTTTAAGTTTTCATCACGAGAAGGAATGTCTCTGTGAAAGTCAATCACAGTGCAGACAAGCAGTTACCTAAAAGCAGACTGCCAGCAACACTTTTTCCTCTTAAGGCGATATCTTTAGCCTAAATTTAGCATAGCTATCTCTTCTCCACGTAAACTTGAGACCAGGCTATTACCCTTGATTGATTATTTGTTTTACAACTCCTCTTGTTCTGGATCACAGTGTTCAAGATAGAGCATGCACGTACATTTGTACGGATATAGGCTTTACTGTATGTCCACACATATCTACAAATTCATATTTGTAACACTAGCAAAAGTATGGGATTTTTATACTGTCTATGTCCTATGACTTTCTAAACAGTAAAACAAGAAGAGCACCTTTCTCATTTAATTATTGTAAGGACCATAACAAATAGGAATGTAGATATACTTCATAAAGGAAAGGCTATTACTGAGGCCTGCTAGTGACATGGCACTAAAGCAATGGGATCTACATAGGAGGGTCCCAGATTCACTTCCCAGGGCCTTTGTGCCCCTGCAGGTGCCCATGGTCTGTGCTGGCTGAGGCTAAGGGTAGATTGTGACATGAAGACCCTGTTGAAACTCTGTCTCTTGAAATAACTATAACAAAGAAAGTAATCCATATTACATTTGCTGATAGTTGTTACCATTACTGTACCCTATACAAGGAGAGAGGGGGCCAGCAGGTGGCATGGTGGCTAAGGCATTGGACTCCCACAAGGCCGACTGCAGTTCGAGTCCCAGACCTTGCACTTACTTTCTCACTTACTTTCTCTGTCTCTCTAGAATGCACATGTCCTGTAGCAAATTGAGAGATGATAATAATAATAACAATGAATAAAATTACATAAATAATTACCAAAAAAGAGATGAGTAGGAATCAGGTGACAGAAAGATTAGGAAGCAGGTTATCCAGGTTTTAAGATGAGTTAGAGACAAAACTAGAACTTGCAGCCTCTGAGTTTCTAGATCATGACTTATTCTGCCACATTCCAATAACCCCAAGTTTCTTTATATGCCATTTGAACATATATGAAAAAAGTACCTTCCACAACAGTGAAGGAAAATTATAGTAGCTATTTGAAAATAGAGCAATTTTTTTAAGAGATGAACTTTATGCCCCTGAAAATATAAAAGCTGGGCCACAAGAGAAGGGTTATCTATGGGACATACATTCTAATAACACAGAATAGCTTCAGCTGTGAATTAAGGAGTTGGGGAGGCAGAGAAAGGGGACAAACAGCAACAGAATATCACTGAAATAATTTGAGTTAGTTAAAATTTGCAACATGTAAAAATTCTTTGAAGAACTCGGGGTTGGCTAAACCCATCACAAATCTAAAGCAGGCCATTGGTGTTCAAAACATTTGTTAAGAACTGTGTTTTTCTGCTTTTAGTAAAATATAAGTTTATTTATTCCATATTCTGTCCACTTTGGAATCTGTTATCTGTAGCACAGTTATCAGGGATAGTCCTACTGGCAGGACAGAGGCATGGCATGACCCTATGGCCACCTTTAGTCTTTCCACACTGCCAAAGATATTATTTCTCACATTTTCCCATTAATTTAATGTGGACAGTCACAGGTGGTAATCATGGCACTATACAAAGGATAACAAAAATAGTGTTTTTCATATCCTTTGAAGCACATTTGGATGAAGCTCAAAGGACTCTTTTCATAAGTTGCCATAAACTGGGTACCTTACTGCTATTACAATTTAGGAAATCATTGGGGTTTTCTACAACACTTTTTCTCTAGTTGCACAGCTCATTTGTCAGTGCTTAATCTACTATGCTCTACTGTAGCATAAAGCTTTCCATTAGCTTTTTGAGCTGTCTAAAGTACACACAATTTTTTTTTTTTTGGAGAGGTTTTTGCTACAGGGCGCATGTGCTCACCAGACAGACAGAGAGAGACATAGAGACAGAAAGCGAGAAATCACCCCCCAGGGGGGGGGGCCATGCTGGAATCCCTTCTCCTCCATTCTCCTCTCAGGATCTTGGGCACGCACACACACGTGCCCGGCATGAGTTTTAAGCCACCGGGTCCGGGATGCGAACCACAGTCGACTATGTGGGAGTCCAGCGACATAGCCATTACGCTAACTGCTGATCCCTCACACAAATTTTTTATGTTGGGGTCAAGGTGAAATTCAGGCATAATCTAAGTTACAAATACATAAATGATCCTAGTTTTTATAGTCCTGTTTTGCTACAAGGCATGTTTCTGTAATACAGATTAGCTCAAAGAGGATTAGCAGATGAGGAGCTGGGTGACATCCCTCTAAGATATTAGTGCCTTTGATTCATGTACATTTTTTTTTTTTTTTTGCAGGACTTCGATGTTGTGAAATAACTGGGAGTAAATTTTTCTTAAATAGGAAAAATGTTGATCAATACATGATGGCCTTTTTTTGCCCTCTATTTTGCCAGAAGTGCTCTGACCAGAGAGAAACAGAGGGAAAGGGAGAAGGTATTCCTCAATGGGGCTAGTCATGCCATGATCCCTTCTTCTTCACTTCTTTGTCATCTCAGAATTTGAGGAACACATATACACGCATCTGGTGTTTTTGAAGCTACTATGGGTGAGACTCAAACTGCACCATCAGTTGTGTGGGATCCAGCTCCCTTAATCAGTAGGCCCTAGGGCTGGCCCAAAGACAGCCTTTAAACACAGCCACAAATTCTGAAGCCACACCTTCCCTTAGTACAAGAAGTGTTAAGAAGAGTGGATTCAAAAGCCATTCCTCTTTTTACT